TGCAGGGGACGGCCCCCCTCGGGTTCTCTCTCCTCCTCTCTCTAGCGCCAGCACCCCTGAGCTCCATAGGGCTCGGCTCGGAGGTGCTGGGGGATGGAATGGACGGCCCCAACTCGGGACGTCCGCGGGTGGCATCCAGACGGATGGACATGTCCACCATCTGGTCGAAGGACAGATTGGTGTCCCTGCAGGCCAGCTCTCGACGAACGTCCTCACGCAGGTTACACCGATAGTGGTCGATGAGGTTCCTCTCATTCCACCCCGCATCCGCCGCTAGAGTCCGGAAATCCAAGGCGAACTCCTGTGCGCTCCTCTTCCCCTGTCGGAGGTGGAACAAACGCTCCACCGCCGCTTTACCCTCAGGAGGGTGATCGAAAACAGCCCTGAAGCGGCGGGAGAACTCCGCGTAGCTGATGGTGGCGGCGTCTATTCCCCTCCATTCGGCGTTGGCCCACTCCAACGCCTTGCCGGAGAGACAGGAGATGAGGGCGGAAACGCTCTCGTATCCCGAGGGCGCCGGGTGTATGGTGGCCAGGTAGGGTTCCACCTGAAGGAGGAACCCCTGACACCCGGCTGCGGTGCCATCATACGCCCTCGGGAGCGAGAGCCGAATCCCACTGGATTCCGGAGCTGGTATGGTGGGGCTGGCCGATGGTGGTGGTAATGTAGGAGGAGGTGTGGGCACGCCTCCCCTTTCCCATCGGCGCAGGGTGTTCATCACCTCCTGCATGGCGGAGCCGAGTTGCTGGATCCTGGCGTCCTGGCAGCTGACCCGATCCTCCAGCGACTCGGTCGCCGCCGCTGCTCCTGCTGACTCCATAGTAAGGTGTGTTGTTCTGTCACAAGCTGATGTGGATGCGGTGTTGGAGTCAGGCGCAGGACACAGAAGCTTAGTCAAAACGACTTTACTTGTCAACAAAGACAATACAAAATAACGGGCCTCAAACACAGGAGGCGAGCGATTACGCAAACAGTGCGTAAAAACACTAACAACTAGAGAACAATAATAATGCACCAACGGACAGGCGGACAACAACACACAACTGCAAACAAAACCAAAGGAAACTTATAGGTGACATAATCAATACATAAGACGAAACAGGTGCACCAACAAGACAAAACCAAACAAACATAGAGAACATCAAGCGGTAGTAGCTAGTACTCCAGGGACGATGAACGCCGAAGCCTGCCCGAACAAGGAGGAGGAGCAGTCTCGGCGGAATTCGTGACACTTGTAGCCCATTCCAGCCTTGTGTAGGTCTACAATCTTGTCCCTGACATCCTTGGAGAGCTCTTTGGTCATGGCCATGGTGGAGAGTTTGGAATCTGATTGATTGATTGCTTCTGTGGACAGGTGTCTTTTATACAGGTAACAAAATGAGATTAGGAGCACTCCCTTTAAGAGTGTGCTCCTAATCTCAGCTCGTTACCTTTATAAAAGACACCTGGGAGCCAGAAATCTTTCTGATTGAGATGGGGTCAAATACTTATTTTCCTCATTAAAATGCAAATCATTTCATAACATTTTTGACATGCGTTTTTCTGGATTTTTTTGTTGTTATTCTGTCTCTCACTGTTCAAATAAACCTATCATTAAAATTATAGACTGATCATTTCTTTGTCAGTGGGCAAATGTACAAAATCAGCAGGGGATCAAATACTTTTTTCCCTCACCGTATCTATCTACTAACTCTAGCTCTAATCCTAATTGTAAACCTTATCCTAGCACTAAACTTAACCCTAACCCTTATTTAAACCTAACCCTAACGGTAACCTTTGTAATCAGTTGTTTATCAACAGATAGTTTGTTGATAGTATGACCATCTGTAGAGCATCTACAGATGTAAAATCCGGACTATCCAAATAAAGTATGTGGTTTTTGGCGATGGCTTTATGGGATAGCTAGCAACTTGAAAACATTGACCCATTCCTATATGTGTACTATTTTAATAGCAATGTTAAATAATCAAGCCAATTGTATCATATGAATGTAGCCTCCTGTTTCAATTCTGAAAAGTTTATTGTGATGGTAATGACGTTTGTTTATGATGATAATTATTAAAGGTCCAATTGAGCCGTTTTTATCTCAATATCAAATCATTTCTGGGTAACAATTAAGTACCTTACTGTGATTGTTTCAAATTAAAATGGTCAAAAAAATTAACAAAAATAGATTCTTAGCGAAGAGCAATTTCTCAAGCAAGAATTTTGCTAGGACTGTCTGGGAGTGGTCTGAGTGGGGAGGGTAAAACTGAAAACTAGCTGTTTTTGGCAGAGAGGTTTGGAACTCTCTTTCTTATTGGTCTATTAACTAATTTACCGCCTGGTGATGTCACCAGGCAGGCCAAAAGTCCATCCCACCAAAACAGGCAGAAATTTCAGAAATGATCAGGAAGGTGTTCTTAATGTTTTGTACACTCAAGGGATATTGACATTTGCAGTGTACAAACTTAACATGATGAACAGGAATTACATTTATTCTCACAGGTGGCCAAAAAAATCTTCACGTCACGCCTCCAATAAGCCACCCCTCCAATCTTCTGAGAGGTCCTTCCCATCACAAAAATGGTTCCAGTTTGAACCTTTACACAGGGGTTCCTCAAATAACATTTTCAGAGGTGTTCCTCAAGGAACCTTTTTGACCTGAAAAGGTTCCCCAACAGTGGCAGTCTTTTGAACCCCAAAAGGCTCCTTTTACTTCTTAGAGTGCAGTGTGAGGAGAGGCCAATGACAGACACATCATCTCCTTTCAAGGAGCTCTCTAGCCCAGACTCTTTCTACAGCCTTTCCCACCGGCTGTTGGCTTTAACACACCTCCCGAATACAGAGAGAGACTCACACGGCTCTTGCTTGTCAAGTTGCAGTGCAAGGTCGCCAGGCACACAGGGTTTGTCTGTCTGCGTTCTGTAGGGAGGCAAGGAGGCGATATGGCGTCTCTTGCTGTGTACAGTTGTTGTGCTTTTTCAAAGAGGCTGTTGCCCACAGAGTATTCAAATCCACTCAGTTTGAATAGGAGGCTGTTTATTAAAAAGTCAGAGTTTCACACTTCCTGCCTGTCTTTGAAGCAGCACACGATTAAAACTCAGGGATATAAATGTAAAAATAAATGCTGTCTATGACTGCGTCACCCATCCTACTCAATTTGGTATCCACCGACAAAGTCTTGCGGAAAAACTACAACCCTTTCCAGATGGAATGAATCCATCTAAAGTGAGAGTATATGCAGAGTTTTATCACATCTAATGACTAATTAGATCAATCACAAGATGTGCTTGTTAAAATTGTGAATGGATTAAGCAAGTTATCCCTGATTTTATACAAGTAGTATAATTATGTCAAAGATGTGTCAACCAGCTGCCGGCAATGTGCATGCGTGTGTGTGCATGTGTGCGACCTTGAAAGGACTAGGGAGGTTTTTCAATAGTCCATTTTTAAAAATGAATGAATGGGTGAATGTTTCAGTAGGTGGATGAACACATTAACAAATTAATGCCTGAATAAATGTACCTGAGGACTATTGAGTTTGCCAGTTACACAACCTATTTGTGATGAAGTCTATTTTTGACACTGCAATGAATCACAGCCTTTCTTTCTACCTCAGTGACTCATCCAACAGTTTCATAAAATAGTGGTTTAGAAATTCTGCATGTCAATGTCACCATCCACAGGTCCATCAGCATGTTGCAGTCTCTCTGTAACTGGTGTGTTTAATGATGAATACAGTATCTGGGACTCCAGTACAAGAACTGCCATGAGCTGTTCCTTTTATTCTGTTAACTGTCATTATTTGTTGTACTGTATTCTGGATGGGATAATTCCACACAAAATGTAACTGGTGTGTGGTAGCCTTCCTTTGATGCTAGATAATGTATCAGTAAAAGGATGATGCATCATATCTACTTGTTAATGAGTGTGTGAAAAAAAAGTTATATAATTAAAGGTCCATTGCAGCCATTTTTATCTCAATATCAAGTCATTTTTGGGTAACAATTAAGTACCTTACTGTGATTGTTTTCAATTAAAATGGTCAAAAAGAAACAAAAATAGCTTCTTAGTAAAGAACAATTTCTTAAGCAAGAATTTAACTAGGACTGTCTGGGAGTGGTTTGAGTGGGGATTTGCTGTTATTGACAGATAGGTTTGGAACTCTCTTTCTTATTGGTCTATTAACTAATTTACCACATGGTGATGTCACCATGGAAGGCCAAAACTCCCTCCCACCAAAACAGGCAGAAATGTCAGGCGGGCTGTCCTTACACTAAAAGGGTATTATCATAATATTCACAATTTCATAGTATTGTTCCAACCTCATCGTGTGGAAATATATATAAAACACAGGAAAATATATATTTTTTACTACATTGGGTCTTTAATATGTTTCCTCACTGCCTACAGGACTAAATTGGCCTGGTTATAATTCATTAGCAATCTGGTAGAAACATATTCTCACCTTTGTCTAACATAGCCTGTTAGATATAACTATATATTTTAAAATAATTATATGAGGCTATCAGAATTAAAAGTTCATATCAAGCAACTGCATTTAATATTATAATATATATACATTGATACAATGGTACCTGTCTTGAGCCCAGCCTGTGAAGTAGGCATACTGTATCTCCTTGCTGCTAGCCCTTTTCTGCTATGAGGTCCATCTGGATTAAGATCACATTCTCATTTGCACTTGAAAGAAGGGTTGCTACCCATAATCCTCCACTGCACAGAAGGAGCTATAGCTTATTAACCAGAAAGAAGCATATGTGTTGAGTGTTCATCTCTGTGGCAGTAAAAAAAAATCCTCTCAAAGAGTTTCCCCTTTCTTCTGTTCTGTCCCCAGTGTCTTCTGATGCATTTAACATAATCCCCTCATCACTCCGCCGTTCGCTTTCATCACTCATTGTGGTAGCGTATGTACTCAGGTGCAATGGGTCGCCTTGCTGTGAGAACTCTCGCCCCATCTTTCATTATTATATTAGCATTCTCCATTCTCTCCCCTTCAGAACCTCTGCTTTACAATAACTCCTCTTCCTCTCTCTCCTCTCCCTGCTTGCTCTCCAGAGGTGACGCACACGCCTAGCTATAAGGCAAAGACGCCCCCACCGGTGCCACCTCGTTCCACCTCCAAGCCCCTCATCTCGGTGACGGCCCAGAGCAGCACAGAGTCCACCCAGGACGCCTACCACGAGGGGATGCACCAGCGGGGGAGTGTACTGTGGGCGCCAGACGGTCTGGGCGGCTCGGGTCGAACCCTCTACAACTCCACTGACAGCCTGGACAGCTCCAAGGCGGTGACGCTGGCCATGGAGACGGCGGCAGGCAAGCGGCACATCTCCACGGGCAGCCACAGCTCGGTGCAGACGTGTGACAAGGCGGTGCTCGTGTCCAAGGCTGAGGAATACCTCAAAACACCACGCTCTTCCATAGGGATTCAGGTAAGACAAGCTCATACACACACACATATGCTTAGATACACACGTGTTGATGGTCTAGTCCCTGTATGGCCGACCCAGGACGTGAATCCTTTCTCACAACAGCACTTTGTGCCTGCAATGAAGCGCACTAACACTAGCCACTGTCTCCACTCCCCATGACAGCTGATGTTAGACCAAGACACACACAAACATACGCGCACACACACACACATTCATTAAACACCGTTCACACTGAGAAGTAGCCATCTCACACTGACCCAATGTGACCCTGACCAATAAGGATTAATGACCACACAGCTCTACAGCCACTGGCCAGCCCAGAGAGCTCAGGCAGCACTCAGCTCAATATAACACACACACACACACACCACCTCATGATGACTAATAGAGTAGAATAACATTAGAGGAAACTGTTGATGATGATTATTTATCGGTGTAATTCAATTTGATCACATTATCTATTTTACACTGGCAACAAATCAAACTAATGAAAGAAATATAATTACATTTACTAATGACTCAAAGTATTTTCTGGATGCCTGCTGAGGTGACTTGTGAACATGTTTTACACATTTTCATGGCCTCTGAATTTACGAGAAACCCATCATATAGCATTAATGTAACCGTTTAGACCGTTAATTTCACTTTCATGCCAAGATTCTGTCTCTTTTGCAATGCAGTTTCTCAAGGGACAGATAGAAACCAATCCATCCTCACCATCATCTTCATCAACCTCATCATCAATATCATCAGAATACTATCATCAACGTTTCCATCATAACCTCCAGTGCCAGCACCATATTAATATCTGTCATCACATCTGGTATGATTAGTTATTTACTATGAAGTACTCATTTTATTCCATACTCAACTTTTTCAATGTCATTATTTTTTAGCACTGGGACTGTAATGTTGAGATGACAATGTGTGTGTGTGTGTGTGTGTGTGCGTGTGTGTGTGTCTGTGTGTGTGTGTGTGTGTAAAGTGAGCCATGCATTGGGGATATAGAGAGGGACCGGCCCATAAAAGCCTTCCCTTTCAGGGAGACAATCATTTGCTCAGGATATAGGGGTCTCTGGACAAACCCCGGCCCTCCTCCTTCACTTAATGCAGATCCTCTCTCTCTTTATCCCCCCCTCTCCTCCCCCGTGTTTGTCTCTCTCCGTCTCTCGGCATACATAGTATAGATCACTACAGTTTACTACCCTCTTTATTATCTATGTCACTAAGCACCCTCATTGATGTTCAGTTGGTGTGGTATTAAAGTAGTTCACCCATGATACTGTAATAACGAGGTTACTGACAATGACGTGTTATTGTTTATGTTCACGTTTGTGCTTCCCAGGTGGAGACGGCAACAGACTCCGAGTCAGAGAGCAAAGGGCTTCCTCAGTACCATTCTGTGGGCACCCAGGTGGAGGATGACAAACGGTACGCACACAGGAAATGGAAACAGACAATACAACCATTGCAGTTTGGCCTCTGACCTTTTACAGCAGCAGTTGATAATCTCTCTCTGGGTCCTGATTGCACTAAATCAATATTTATCGATGTTGTGAAACTTATATTGCACATGTACTTGTGAATGATTTATTTTCTGTATATACTGTTGGGTTTGGCTATCTATCAATATATTTATGTTTTCTCTCTCTTTGGATCCATATATTGTAATTCTAATCTATTTATTCTCCTCTGTATATATATATTTGTTTGTGTGTGTCTGCATGTGTCTATACTCCCTCAGGCATGGCAGGTTCAAGCGATCCAACAGTGTGACGACAGCCGTACAAGCTGACATGGAACTAGAGGGCTTCCCCACCATGGAGGACAAGGGCCTGCAGTTCGGAGGGGGTTTGGCCTTCCACGGGGGCCACTCGGAGCCTAGCACGCCCACCCAGTACGGGGCTGTCCGCACCGTCCGCACCCAGGGCCTCTTCAGTTACCGGGAGGACTACCAGCGCTCCTCCAGCGGACCGCCCAGCCCGCAGCCTGAGTCGTGGCTGACGGAGCCCTCTCTGGAGGGGGTAGAGACGGGCCGCGTGTCCCCCCTCCGCAGGGACGGCAGCTGGTTCATGCAGCTCCTCCATAATGAAACTAAGAGGATGGAGGGATGGTGTAAAGACATGGAGAGGGAGGCGGAGGAGCATGACCTGTCGGAGGAGAGTGAGTTTCTGACGCTGAAGCATAGAGGCATGTACTGCCTCTATAGTCCCTAAGGCAGGGGCTGTTCATATTCTAATGCATTAATTTATACATGCATTCACTGATAACCCTTTAGAATTGAATGGGCAAAGTCATGTTTGTAGATGGAGATGTAATACAACCAACAAGCGTTGTTATGAACACATTTATTTAGCTAATGAATACCAGTCCAGCATTTTGATTCTTGATGCAGTGGACAGATTTGAGTGAGATAACACTGCTGCATGGCCAAAGGGCTCTATTGTCATGTCATCCAACAAATGTAAATGCCTGGAGTTTGCTGAAAGGCATGTGATTGTATCCGGTGCTGTGGTCAGATGACAGATGACATGACAAAATAGCTATTTTGGCCACGTACACCAGTGATAAGGATGCATAAGCAGGAGAGAACAACCATACATACTGTACAATATGGTGGTGGATCTTTGATGTTATGGAGCTACTTTGCTTCCACTGGTTCTGGGGCCCTTGTTAAGGTCAACGGCATCATGAACTTTACCCAGTACCAGCACATTTTTGCAAAAAATCTGGTTGCCTCTACCAGGAGGCTGAAGCTTGGTCGCACGTGAATCTACCAGCAAGACAATAACCCCAAGCACACATCAAAATGGCCATCTCAGTCTCTGGACTTGAACCCCATTTAAAACCTGTGGTTTGAATTGAAGAGGGCAGTCCATAAGCGCAGACAAAATATATAAAGGATCTGGAAAGATTCTGTATGGAGGAATGGTCCAAGATCCCTCCCAATGTGTTCTCCAATCTCATAAAACATTTTAGAAAAAGGCTCAGTGCTGTTATCCTTGCAAGGTGAGGTATTGAAAGCTATTGAAAACAGGGGTGCCAATAATTTTGACCCATATCTTTTTCAGAAGAAAAAAAAATACAAAATCTCTTTCTCTATAAGAAATATATAATTTTCAAATGTTTTGGAGCATACAATATAGCTCAGTATTTGTATTATTTATTTTATAGTATTTTTTGCTCATCTTTTGGACCTGACAGTATATTTACAGAATTAAGAGTCTAATATCACTCCATACGCGTATGTCTCTCTCTCTCTCTCTCTCTCTCTCTCTCTCTCTCTCTCTCTCTCTCTCTCTCTCTCTCTCTCTCTCTCTCTCTCTCTCTCTCTCTCTCTCTCTCTCTCTCTCTCTCTCTCTCTCTCTCTATCTCTCTATCTCTCTTTGTGTCCTCCAGTCCTAGGGAAAATCCGAAGTGCGGTGGGCAGCGCACAGCTCCTCATGTCTCAAAAATTCCAGCAGTTCTACTGGCTGTGTCAGCAGAACCTGGTAAGTGCCCTATAATATTATAATACACCATGACGGGTGTACCATGACGGGTGTATCATGACGGGTGTACCATGACGGGTGTACCATGACGGGTGTGTGTGTGTGTGTGTGTGTGTGTGTGTGTGTGTGTGTGTGTGTGTGAACAAACACTACCGGTCAAAAGTTTTAGAACACCTACTCATTCAAGGGTTTTTCTTTATTTTTACTATTTTCTACATAGCAGAATAATAGTGAAGACATCAAAACTATGAAATAACACATATGAAATCATGTAGTAACCAAAAAAGTGTTAAACGAATCAAAATGTATTTTATATTTGAGATTCTTCAAATAGCCACCCTTTGCATTGATGACAGCTTTGCACACTCTTGGCATTCTCTCAACCAGCTTCACCTGGAATGCTTTTCCAACAGTCTTGAAGGAGTTCCCACATATGCTGAGCACTTGTTGGCTGCTTTTCCTTCACTCTGCGGTCCGACTCATCCCAAACCATCTCAATTTGGTTGACGCCGGGGGATTGTGGAGGCCAGGTCATCTGATGCAGCACTCCATCACTCTCCTTCTTGGTAAAATAGCCCTTACACAGCCTGGCGATGTGTTGGGTCATTGTCCTGTTGAAAAACAATTGATAGTCCCACTAAGCCCAAACCAGATGGGATTGCGTATCGCTGCAGAATGCTGTGGTAGCCATGCTGGTTAAGTGTGCCTTGAATTCTAAATAAATCACAGACAGTGTCACCAGCAAAGCACCCCCACACCATAACACCTCCTCCTCCATGCTTTACGGTGGGAAATACACATGCAGAGATCATCTGTTGACCCACACCGTGTCTTACAAAGACAAGGCGGTTGGAACCAAAAATCTCAAATTTGGACTAATGTCCATTGCTCATGTTTCTTTGCCCAAGCAAGTCTCTTCTTCTTATTGGTGCCTGTAGTAGTGGTTTCTTTTCAGCAATTCGACCATGAAGGCCTGATTCACACAGTCTCCTCTGAACAGTTGATGTTGAGATGTGTTTGTGACTTGAACTCTGTGAAGCATTTATTTGGGCTGCAATTTCTGAGGCTGGTAACTCTAATGAACTTATCCTCTGCAGCAGAAGTAACTCTGGGTCTTCCATTCCTGTGGCGGTACTCATGAGAGCCAGTTTCATCATAGCGCTTCATGGTTTTTGCGACTGCACTTGAAGAAACTTTCGAAGTTATTGAAATGTTCCGTATTGACTGACCTTCATGTCTTAAATTAATGATGGACTGTTGTTTCTCTTTGCTTATTTGAGCTGTTCTTGCCATAATATGGACTTGGTCTTTTACCTAATAGGGCTATCTTCTGTATACCCCCCCTACCTTGTCACAACACAAATGATTGGCTCAAACATTAAAAAGGAAATAAATTCTACAAATTAACTTTTAACAAGGCACACCTGTTAATTGAAATGCATTCCAGGTGACTACCTCATGAAGCTGGTAGAGAGAATGCCAAGAGTGTGCAAAGCTGTCATCAAGGCAAAGGTTGGCTATTTGAAGAATCTCAAATATAAAATATATTTTGATTTTTTTAACACTTCTTTGGTTACTACATGATTCCATATGTGTTATTTCATAGTTTTGATGTCTTCACTATTATTCTACAATGTAGAAAATATTAAAAATAAAGAAAAACCATTGAATCAGTAGGTGTTCTAAAACTTTTGACCGGTAGTGTATGCATGCATACGTCAGTGTTGTGCATTAAAATAAACCTTATATCTCACATTCTCACTGTTGATGACTTAGCAACAGCACAGGGCTTGAAAAGTGCTGTACCTGAAGCTGCACTAACTGGCTGCTCCAGAAATAGCAGTCCCAATTGATGTCGAAACAGGCCTTCTGCTTGTATTGACCCCCACAGTAAGCGGAAGGAGAATAACAATAGGAAACTTAGGTGTCTATGTTCACACCATTCATTAATACAGAGAGACAGACATTTCAATGGGTTTTGAATAACAAACCTTCTACCCTCTCTCATTACTCACCCCTAACGTAGTCAAGAAGTTTTCACATTTTCACAATACCTAATTTTAATTACCCACCAAATGTCAACCTGCATTAGTTACTGTAGGGGTAGTCTCAGAAGACTGTGCTCAAATGATGCTTCACTTGCCATTTATTCACACAGTGCAGACATTTCTTTAATGAAAAAAGCAAATTGTTTTTGAGAGGAGGGGCTTAATGACCCTTCTCTCTTGCCGTAGCGTGATTGTTTTTTTGTGTCTGATGACTATGATGCCTTAAAGCCGGTGTTTTGCTCTCTTTCTGAGGGGCCGTGGACTCTCTCTCTGCGTTCCCCCGGAGATAATGGGATGATGGATGAAGTCCCACATTTACTGTGACAGGACTTAGATTGCCCTGAGCCTCTCAAATGTGTCCCACTGACTGAGTAGAGAGCAGCCCTAGTATCCCTACCGGAGAGAGCGAGAGAGAGAGCACTACCCCTAGCATGACCCCATATCACAACTGTAATGTCCGTGTGGGGGCGGAGGGTGTGGGGGGGGGGGGGGGGGGGGGGGGTTGAGGAGGTGGGGTCGTCTGTGTGTGTGTTCGGGGGTGGGTGTGTGTGCGTGTAAGTGCATGTGTTTGTGTCATCTGGACAGCACAAGTGGTCCCCTCAGTAACACAAATGTCAATGTTGAACCTGTTCAGGCATACAGCACACCATGTTGCAATTGTGTGCTGAGTCATTGCCAACCTTTATGTGTAGTTATGCTTTGAATGATTACAGAAACAGATAAGTGGGAGTGACAAAGGCTCTTTAATAATGTAGAACTCCACATGGATGTAACTTTGATTTTGCTCCATGAAATGGAGCTCATGGCTGGCAAAGGGCATGAAATACATCTGTTATTTAAAGCGTTAAGGAGGACATCTAGTGGTTGGACAGTGTACAGAAGGGTGTTGGAAGGTACAATATCTGGGGATGTAACACAAGCATTTAAAAATCACCATTATAGTCTATAACAGTTATGACTATACCAGATATATAAGTGTCATGAAATTTAAACAGACATACGTTGTCATGGTCACTGAGGTGTTGATAATTATATAAAATGATCTCCCTCCTCCACCTTTCACTTTTCCGGTCAACCCCTTCCCTCCCTTCCCTGCCACCTTTCACCCGCCAGGATCCTAGCGCCATGCCCCGCCCCACCTCTCAGGACCTGGCTGGATTCTGGGACCTGCTGCAGCTCTCCATCGACGACGTCACTGGCAAGTTTGACGAGCTGCAGCAAATCAAGAGCAACGAGTGGAGGCCTGTGGAGAGCCCTGAGAAGAAGACACCATTACAGGTATATCAATGGAGTTGTTACTCTTGCTTAGCTGTATAGCTTTTCACAGCTAGCAAACTAGACTGTGGAGGTGTATTGTCTAATGGTATTGGCCAATGTGTACTTATTTGTATTGTTTTATCCTGCCCTTATTCAGAAAATTACATGGCTCAAATCTCTCTCCCTCTCTCTCATTCTCTCTCTCTCATTCTCTCTCTCTCATTCTCTCTCTCTCTCATTCTCTCTCTGTGAAGGAGAGGAAGTGGCCTCCCCCGTTGCCAAAGAGGCCTCCGAAGGGGCGTGGCAGCGTGATGCGGGAGCGTTCTCTGGACCTGCAGGACCGCCAGCGTCAGGAGGCCCGGCGCCGCCTCATGGCAGCTAAGCGGGCAGCTTCCTTCAGACAGAACTCAGCCACAGAGAGGGCAGACAGCATCGAGATCTACATCCCCGAGGCCCAGACCCGCCTTTGAGGTCCAAGGATTTACCCCTCTAGCCTGACCCCAGCTCTGCCCATTTCCTGCCCCCATACCCCGGCCCCAGCCAGTGGGTGTCACCCAGACTCCTTCCTCCCTCCTCCTTCTCATCTGTGTCAACATCTCTCACTTTCATTTCTCACTGTTTCTCTCCATCTATTGCCATTCTTCTGATGTCCTCTCCCCTTTAAGACGGAGGTAATATTCACCACCCCTCCACCCCATTATAATGAGCTGCTACTACACCCTCCCCTTTAACCGAACTGATTCACCATCACAATTATATTTGGGTAATTACAAGCAAAATGATTATTTTCTATACTGTAACAAATTATCTTGTTGGAAATGTATTCATCCCCCCAAGAGCTTTCGCATTGCCATCATGTATTATGAGCCTCTGGGTAAAGTAAGGGTAATATCAGTATTTTCCCACCATGTTCAAAAGGAATCACAAAGTGCAACTTTTCTATGGAGAATCTCACCAGCATCAGTGGTCTTGGGCTAAAGCACCCTGTGCGGAGACTACTACTCCCCAGTGGTAGCACAGAGGTGGTGATGACTCACTGTCAAGATAGAAGTCTGGAAATCTCTCCCCCATGTTTGTGGGTTGTCAGTCAATGTGGGGGGGAATATGTAATGTGATTGATCAACACCTGCTATTGAAATACCTCAGTCTTGCAGTGGGCACTCTAGCGTAAAAACCATAGACATAGAATTCAAATCTATTTCTATGGTAGAGACCGAGGAGTAGTCATCACATCTGATATGGTCGCACAGCATCCTGGGTATAGTAGTTCCGTTGTTATTCTTGGGACGTACTCACACCACTTTTTACCAGGCTAGCTGCTGCAGCCACTGCCTAACATTGCTGAGACATGGGATCTGAAAAAGACATGCAGTAGTACCCCAGCTAGCACAGAAGTTTTTGGTTTCCCATTGGTTCTGGGAACAAAGCCATAAGTTTCCTGATCGGTAAAACTGAACGTTTTTTTAATGTTCTGAGAATGTAAAATTTTAGGTTGCACGGAGGTTCTTAGAACCTTTTACTATGGTTCCCTGAAATTTTCCTGGAGGTATTATTAACGTTCTGAAAACGGAAATTATAGGTTATTTGAAGGTGATTAAATAACATTCTGAGAACATTCTCTAAATGTTTTGAATGTTTTGAACGACATGTATAGGTTATTTGGAGGTTTTTGAATAACTTAAAACTTTCACTGAACGTTTCAATAAGACTGCTAGCTTAGGTTAACTGGTTTGAACGGATAAGAGCGTCTGCTAAATGACGTAAATGTAAATGTAATAGGATACATGGAAATTAATAATGCAAACACATTTCTTTTTTATTGTGGCACGGCGTCAGTGAGATTCAAACCTATGATCTTCTGTTCTCTGTCCGTGGAATTAGTTCACTGCGACACCAGGAAAACATAGCATGCCATGTTTTTCAAACTCATAAAAGCTGTTAATTTTAGTCTATTCCAACAGACCCAATTTCAAAGGAAACAAGCACTCATTAATATCAGGTGCGGCCAATTAGTGGGCCCGGCCAATACACCTGAACACACTTAAGTAAATAGAGGATAGAGAGAGTTTTGTTGACACTGAGAACGGAATGTATATGTTTTTAAATAACATTATTAGAACGTTCTTTGAATGCTACTCATTTTTTCTTGTGGTTCTTATGGAACATTTTCTTAATGTTCTGAAAACATTACTTTAAATAGAACCATGAGGAAACCTACAGAAAACGTTATACTAATGTACTGAAATTCCCACAGAATAACGTTTCTTAACGTTCATAATGTTTCTTAACATTCTTAGAACTATTTGAGAACATTCCCAATGTCAAACCAGTTGGAGAACATTCCAAGAACATAAAAAATAAAAATAATGTAACCATGTTTAAACTTTTAGGAAACGTTCTGTTAAAGTAATGAAATACCAAGAAAATTAAGTATTTTTGTCAAGTTCCTTAAATGTGCTGAGAAAGTCCCAAAGCCAAGCAACTATCCTGTACCTTTCCCAGAAAGTTGTGGGAAGGTTGTATGCAAAATAACCATGGGACAACCACGCTCTCACCAAGCTCTAAGAAACGTATGGTTCTCAGAACGTTGTGTGCTAGCTGGGACAGTACCTTAGGGCTGCATTTATGCATTTTCAGTTAAGATAAAGGCATTGTTGTAAGGTTGAAACATGGTTATGATATAGGTTGTACAGTGCATTTATTCGTCTGATCCATGTTTCCATTGCAACACTAGTTTAAATCACTTAAAGGGAAAAAAAATGTTTCAAATTTCGTGAAAGAAAAAAGTTGACTATATGATATAATGCATTTTTGCACCTTATATATATATACTATTCGTGTTTGTATTTCCAAGGGAAATGTAGTAAATGACACTCACATGATATTGTTGCAGTTGAATTGCAAGGACAAAAATGGAACATTTGCTACTGAATATGTCTATGATGCTTTTCTATACACCACATCAATCTGCACCTTGAGTTTTGTGTTTATCCCCTGATGTCAAGTACTATTGTAATGATAACAATGATGATAAATCATGTAATCAATCACATATATACCCAATGACCAACATCACAAACTACATTGAACTTGATTTGTCTGACAGTGGACGATGTGATGAAAGAGTGACTGTCTATGGGGTGGAGAGAGCAGTGCCCCAACAGACAGATAAGTTATACCTATTAGGGACCACATCACACACATTCTATCGCATCCGGCACACAACAATCAAGTATTTTTCTCCACACTGCAGATGTAGTGTGGGACAAACAGGTGCAAATGTCACTTTAACACTATCCAGTTACTAGTAAATGGTGCTGCTTTTTACCTGAAACGGTTGTCCTTTACCCAGTCCTATGTGCACACACACACACTCAAGGACCTTTTAATAACAGAGATTTACAAAAATGGTGCCCATATTTATCTTTAATTAAAGATGGTGGCTATTGACTTGCGGGGGAAAAAAACATTGCGGAGAAAAAAAACATATTTGCAAAGTGTCTATTTGCAGTGTTCATTTTTGCTTAAAAGTTATTTATTGAAGAGGCAGAGAAAATACGTATGATGAGGTATTTCTAGTCCCTATCTTGCCATCAGCTAAGAGGGTTGCTATAATTGTAGCCATAGTCAAAGGTCTATGGAATTCTAGTGAGAGAGAGAGAGCAAGCCATTTTCATTTTTATGACGTTACTCCATTGCTTTGGCGGTGCTCTACAACACCACACTTCAGAATTGGCCCTCCTCCAGTCAAGGAGATAATTGTTTCAATATACTGTATATTTCCTTCAAAAAATGAAACTGTCCTTTTACTAGATTACATGATATACTGGCATTTGTGTTGTACTGTGTGTCATATGTATAGCATATCCATACCCATATGAACAGCAGATTGGATTTTAAGTATCATTAATTTATTCCCATATAATTGTGATGTTAGGGTTGTAAGCTTCTAGCACCAGTGGTCGACTAGGAATGTTCAATAGAATGTGATGCAAAAACAGGATGAGCTGTTATATGTCCACATTGCATGGATTAAGACAACACTTTTTATTGAGGCCTTTGCAATGTAGCCACAGTTCATTTGGTCAGATACGTTGCCAGATATTTTGCTAAAAAGGGTGGAAAGTAGTTTAATAACCTCATTCCTCTATAGCTTCTGGTAAACCGCTCAATGGCTCCAATTTCATTTCCTGACGTCAGTCTCTCTCTGCTGTGAAACTCGATGAAACCGTTACATACCAGACGGCCTTAAACACATCGAAAGCAAAAACCTTTATGAATGTAGAGCCCCTAACAATGCAAAAAAAAGGTCAAAGGAGGTGTGTAGGTGCTGTGTAAAAGCAAACAGTACAGTATTGTGATTCTATGTGGACACAAAGTCCATGTCTGGTCTTAGTGAGGTAAACAGCAGAAAGTGATAGACATTGATAGCTTGATGAAGAGATACAAAAAAATTAGAGTATGATCATTGGGCATTAGAAATTATGTCACTTCATCTCTTTCACACCCGTGGTGGTCTCATCTGAAAGATTCAAAACCACAGGGTCACCAACTGCTGCTATAGTGAAATACTAGTAACTATTCACTACAGTTACCAATTTGCAGTGATATATAACATAACATTCAGATTATATTAAACATGATAGATTGGCCAAGGCAAATTGTTCATGGATCTTCATGCTCTTCTTTCTCCTTTATCATTTCCTAGTCTTTAGTTATTCATATTTTGTAATAATCTACAGTATATGTAGCCCTCTTAATTAGGTGCTTAAATTGTGACAGCAATTTTTTGTTTTCATAGAAAATGAATTGCCCTTTCTCAATCTCAAACATACTCTATTTATTGCTAAATGACGTAAATGTAAATGTCTATTTTCACGTTTGTCCCATACCGTATGCTTTTCCATGATCTAAGGAGGGGTTTGCAAGTTTGGCAACTACGTATGGTGGGAAAAATCCTTAGGTGCCTTAAAATCAGACTTACACAAATCTATGAATGAATGTCTTAGGTTGAGGTCTTTGGTTGGAATACAATGCCATGCAGAGTGCTTGGACATCTCTGGTTGTGTTGATTGAGCTGCAATGTCACCAAAAAGGGCTGTTAGGGAGAAAGCTAGCTTGGTTTTTTCATCCAAATGCCTTGATATTAGTCGTTTGGATTAGCATTGGATAAGTTTGAATGTTATACTGTTGTATGACTGCAGCACAAGTTGATAAGTGAAGAGGATGAATTGATACATTTTGTGTGATTATTTAAACTATGCTTTTGGTAAGATCTGTCATTTTTGGCATCCATTCATTCTCACAGGTAGAGATCGTCCCCATTCATCAGGGGGGAAAAACATGTTACATTTGGTGTAGTTGGCAGGTTTGGTTATTCATATTTATTGGTACATGCCCCAAGTTTACATTATGTCACCGGTATGAAAGTGTCTTCATGATAGGTACACACTGTGTATCATTTATCATC